CAAAACATGACCTAGATATGGGTTCTATTTTTAGACACTACTGAAAACCAACACCCAACAGTGAACACTGGAGGTCTCAGCCACTCATGTCTTAATATGACTGTAGTGGTAAGGGCAGCAGTACCATCTGCAGCAATACAAAGGCACTGATTCTGTGGCCGGGTTTTCACAAGGTGAAAGGACGTATTTGTTCCGCATTTGATATGTGATTACCATAAAACATCATTTTTCCTTATCAACGTCTCGGGAGGGAAACTTTCACAAACATAACAAAAGCTCACACGCTTTAGTGTTAATAGGTGCTCAGCCCTTCAGAATTGAACAGAAATTATTTACTGCAAAACACCAAAGACGTATATTGAAAACACCTCATACTCTGACGTGTATGTCTAACCTGGACTTCCAAGTCAGCATGCTACTAGTGAATAAAACAATCCAATAGCAGCATAATAGAACTGGTCAACATACAATATTCAATAATATATACAACAGATGCTAGCATGGAACACTGAATAAAGTGCAGTAACAGAATAACGCAATAAATGTGCATATATGTGTACCGGCTGAGACAAAGCTGTCACACACTTGTAGCTTGTGTAATATACATCGTTTTTCACACAGGGATTTCTGACAAAGAGACAACTGTTTAGCTTCAGTAACACTAGAATAACAACTGATATAGCCGTCACTCAGTTCAAACAAACCTACATCATGCCAAATATGTCCTACCAGGAGGACATGGTAAATATGTATCCACACATCTAAGGTCACAATGATCATGCTTCATCCCAGGGACAATACTCTTCCCTCAGCTTACTCAAGTGTGTGGATGTTCCCAATATGTGTCATATTTACATTAACCTTCACTATCAAGGTATGATTCCCACTGTTACAAAGGAAGTTACAAGCACTGTACTTGTGAGACTTTGAAAATTCCCCTAGTCATACAACCTTGAACAAACATATATATATATAGATGTGTGGGTTTCCACAGCACTGTAGAAGATACCAGGCCTGAGCGTGTCAAGTGATACTTGATGCCAGAGCACAACAGTAGGAATAGAATTCCAGGTGAAAAAGCCAAAATGTGCACTATGTGCACTATGACATTGTGGACCTTTAAATGTACATATAAACAAATGTATTGATACAGAATTTGTTTAGTCTTATGTTATCATTCACATTGGGTATTTGATGGTTTTCTTTGGGTATGTAATATTTTTTTACTCCATTACACTTAGTTACAGTCGAGTCTATTGGGTATTTTTTAAACCAAAGATGAGACATTTTGAAAGAATTCTGCCAAAATGCTGTTTCAGGTAACTATTAATTATTTCTATTAATATGCTGCCCCAAATTTGTCACCTGTCATACATGTATGAGCAAACAACAGCGATACAGATCCAGGGTAGAATAGGTCTTCAACCCATGCTTGCCGTAAAAGGTGACTATGTTTGTCGTAAGAGGTGGCTAACGGGATCGGGTGGTCAGGTTTGCTGACTTGGTTGATGCATGTCACTGTATCCCAATTGCGTGGATCAATGCTCATGATGTCAGTCACTGGATTGTCTGGTCTAGAACATTGAGGCCTGAGCGACAACATATGCAGTTTTGGTATGATGACATTTTATCCACCAGGTCATACATTACCATTTGTGTCCTGCTATTTTAGTCAGTTCCTTTTACAACATGGGAACATATTGCTTGTTTGTGGCACAGAATTAAAAAAAAAAGTAAGAAGAAAATGGAGAACCAAATCAAGGTTTCTAGTAACATGAGCAGATTTTTGCGACCAACCGCTGTTTCCCATAAGGAAAACAATTTTGTGTGGGTCATTTAATTCAAGCCGCCCAGTAACTCAAATACATCCCATCCATCATTCGGATTTTCAAAGATCTCCACTACTCTTATGCTGTCGATGATAAACTTATTGCATTGATGGCGAATACAAGAAGAAAACTCTAAAACATAACTACCGGTACTGTGACATCAGTTACACAGGAGTACTGATGTGATTTCACTGACTCTGAACAAGATTTCCCAACATAAACCCTTCAAAACCAAATCATGATTAAATAAGGCAGTCCTAGGCATAGAATGTCAACATGGTTCATTTTGGGGTCCCATTCCAGATAGCGAAATCGGCACTATGACTGTCATGAGTTAATGCCAAATTACAGGAGTTATGATTGTCTTAGCACTAAGATAGCTTTGTGAAACAGGGCTGGCTATAAGTTATACTTTATAAGGGCATTTTTTACAATCTAGGAGAAAGTCAAGACTGAAATTGTTGTTCGGGACAGCCATTTTTATGTCAGAGATGCATGATACCAGGACACAGACGAGCAAAAAGTCCAATCAATGATCCATATTCGGCAAATAACTTGTGTACTTTCAGAAGAATATACTCAGTGAAACAAACTCCTAAAGTAAATAGCACTGAATACCTAGTAACACACGTCTATGAGCTTAAAATTGTTATCAAATATCAAGCATGTGTCGACACCACACATATGACAAACTACCTAATTGCAAAATCTGCCAAACAATAAAACTCAGAAATGAAATTTAAGAACTGACATTACACATGATTAATGAACCAATGCATTTGCACACTGCATGGCTGCACAAAGAGTGAACATAGTTTATGTCTGTTATTCTAACATTCAATTATACAATTTGGCTGTTATTCTGACAAGAAATTGTACAGATATCTATGGCTAAATCATATTACTAAGCCCAGCTGCTACAGGTCAATTTCAGCCAATGTTCAGCTTGATATCACTGCAGTGCCTACTCTGAAACATGTGGAATATTGCTAACTGCTCCTTCAATAACAAGCTCTTTGCAGACAGACACCGTTCACTACACACAGTTTCAGACAATATTAAATCTGGCCTCAATAAATCATGAAATACAAAATGTACTCCCTGATTTGTTTACATATCACACATGACAACATCTTTAGAAACTTGCACAAGTCTTATAGAAACTTCATCCCAATAACACACACAATTCTCAATGCTGAAAGAAATCAAATAATTAAGTTTTCCTATATATACTCACCACCAAAAGAAATGTGAAAACCTTACATGTTGGTTAATATATGAAGACTTACTCATATCCAAGAGATATTAGGTTGGTTTGATGCACAAACGAAGAGACTGGTGTGTTGTGTGAACTGATGCTCATGAACGCATCACATGTGATGTCATAGATCCATGACTCGAGATGCACCATTTGTCTTGTGCAGGATTAGAGTGTAAAGATTGGAAATCACGTGTAGCATATCGTGATAAAAATAAAGACACTCTGTGGACTGTTAGTTTGTCATACAAGTGGTACACATTAGAAACATCTCTTAACGTGCATACTTCTCTATGGTTCGTGTTTCTTTTGGCGGTGAGTATACATGTTCAATGAGGAAGTTTCTACAACTGTTTGAAAGTAATCTGAAACATTTCTTCTAAAACATTACAACTTGATATATAATAATAATTTAATAACCTGGCCCTTCTTAATTCCAAGCACAAGGTCAAGAAAAAAGCATAGACAGAACACATGGTTCACAAAGGCTATACAGTCAACAAGTTTTTCCTTACCTGAAAGTTTGAGGGTGACTAACTTAATCAAGTTAATGAATAACAAGTGAATAATCAAGTTAAGACTCAAACAGATACTTGGGGAGAAATCCAGGATATATTTCATACCTGAGTTGATGAATTTCTACTGAATATGTTCAAATATTAACCAGGCAATAGCATACAAAATGAGTATTCCTGAGCTAAATGCACTTGCATTAAATAAGAAGCAATCGAGTTGATTATGGGGGACTGTGGCGTGGCTGAGCATACATATTTCATTTGAGGTCACAAGTCCGAAGCCCCACAATACACATGATAAAGTTAAATTCCTCCTCATCTAGTAAGATCAGCTTAAACTGGCCCACATATAAGACTGAATTATACTGAAATTAATGCTAAAATACAAGCTCAGCCAGAAGATAAAATGTTTTAGGCACATAGAGTGTGAGCACACGAAAGTTTCCCCCTGTAAAATATACAAGATCTAACCACATGAAAAATGAAGATTATCCACTCTTATCAAACTTTCGGAATAAGCGACTAAAGATTTTACCAAGTCCAAATATAGCATTATATCCTAACATGGCCACTACCCTACCCTGTATGATTCTTATATTAATATTACTTAGACATTACAGCATGAGCTGAAACATACATTGACCATACTTCACATACAATTATGAAATTTACAATTATTTACTACTGATATTTAGATTGAATGACAGTCTGTAAAGAAAATAATCTATCCTGATTCATAATATATTCAAAATCAAATTTATCCAAAACTTTGGTCAAAACTAGTAAAACATCTTATAATATTCCCATGTTCAGAATCACGGGCCAGCTATTGAGATCAAGATTTTAAGTTACTATGGAGCATATTTTCTCAGGAAACTGACATTAGTGCGAACGTAAATGATAGAATGTCCTTCCATATGGAAGGGTTAGATCCAGTTCAGTTGTGATACATTCAAAAATACGCTACGCCTATCACTTTGTATCTATATATGACTGTACTAAACATGCGAATAATATCATAAAACAACAAATGAATTTTAAACAAACCACGACAGAGACCGAGGAAGACTGAAACGTCTCATGGCCCGATGTCATGAGTGAAATCATGGCTGCCAAACTGCAGTCGATCACGTTCGGCAGATGTGGCTGCGCATTTCTTTTCCGTGGCTCAAGAGCTCGCAAAATTCTATTTCAGGGACCCACTTGTATAGGTTGCATCATGTAGAAGACGTTTTGAAGGTTTTACATTCAATTTTCTTTCAATTTCCACAAAGAAATCAAAACCATCTGATGTCAATTTGATGACCCAAAATGACAGAAAATGCGAAGTCTGCAATTTAACTGAGATTATTAACGGAATTCTCGCTAAATATGATAATGTATTCAAATATAACTTACTTTGATTTTAGAAAATTCTTCTATCGCTCTAAGAGCTGAGTCTGTTAGCTTGACGTGAATTACAGTTTTGTTGCCGATGGAAGAATCGTTTGAGATGAGACCATACTCCTGTCCTTCCACCAGCGCAGCCATATTGGTCTGGCTAGCACCTCGATCTCGGTTGACCTATCAGACAACGCTTTATAAAAACGGACCAACCAAATCAGGCAATAGCGGTTTCGGCTGAACTCAACATCCGCCGTTATTTTTAGCTCTCCGACGTCACGAGGGAACCCGGACAAATTACCAGAGGGATTCTCCCTAGCAATACCGTTGATGACGTAACACCAGAAAACCACCACCCACCGTTTTCATAATGCTCCAACCGATATGTGAAACTTTTTCTGATAACGATAATATTATGAAAAAGTGAAAAACATCGCCTAAATTTTCAAAAAGAGTATTCTTTTTATCGATACAGTTTTACTTTTATTTTGATTGGGATAGATGTAGATCTTATGTTTTCCCTTGTTGCCTCCTTACACCAGGCAGAAAAGTGTACACGTTCTTCTTTTGATTTTCATAGATGGATCGTGATTAGTTATTGTGAGTTTATTTGGAGTGAACTGTAATAACATCTATACAAGAATAATATATGGACTCATGTAGGTTAGTTCAGAAAGATGAAGTGTAATTAAATTTATTTAAAACAATACTTTCTCTTTCTGAGCACGCACGTTAAGACACGCTAGCAGCGTCCATGATTATCCCAACGGGGCAAGTTTGGTATAACTGTAGGAGTGACCCGGTGGTCCATGTCAAAACAACTTGATTTATATGACTGCGAGTATTTAGCATGAAGTGATCGCCCATGCGGAAAACCTTCTTCATAAAGACACATACCATCCTACATTGAGCGTTGATGTGAAAATATTTAAAAACATTTTGTTCACGAAACGCGATGGTTGACACATACGCAATACACGGAGGGCATTGCCAATACAGCCTAGATATTAACCTTGTTGCATATTGCCAGGGGCAAGCACTCATCTTGTGAGGATATGTAGTTTTTTTCTCAGCGCTTTGTTAGTAGTTGAACGCCACAATAAGCAATAATCCAGCTGTATATCGGCGGGACAAGACAAACCAATGAGTGATATTATGAGTAACGCCCCACGCTGTCAAAATAGGATGACACGTGCGATCAAGTTCAAGTTATCGATCAATAACAATAATTAATCAGTAATCCCTGACACAGCAGCCATCATCTTCATAATAGAGATAAATAATAAAATAATAATGTGTGTGCTTATATTGCGCTAATGTACAATGTCTATGCTCGAACCACTCGAATATGTTATCCTCATCTCCCTGGGGAGTATACAACCCATGCTGCCTGTGAGGCACTAGAAGGTTCACAGCTATCTCCTACCGGGTACCCACTCACTGCTCGGTGAACAGAGGCACATTTCGAACAAAGTCACTTATCTAAGGAGACACGGCTTGTCCTACATGTGCCTCAGTGTGGGGCAGGACCGAAGCCCTAGAAACTCTCAGGAGTCAAGCTTCCGAAAGCCGGTCGCCCATCCAATCATTCTCCGCAACCAACGTTGCTTAACTTCACCTAATCGTTCACCCGATGAAGGCGTAAGTATAAACTTCAAAACGTTTTGTTCCTCATAACAAAGAAGTTGACATCCCTAAAGTATCTTTTTATCTGATTTGTGAAGTTTCGTAAAACTGGTATCTAACGAGAGTGTGTGTGATATTTTATTTATTACTCACGTTAACTATATCTGTGTAAGAAAAAAACATAAATCTTTCGTTCGTTAACAAACCAAACTGAAATCGGTTGCAAAGCTGGTGGCGCTTGAATATTGATATATGACCAAAGATGGGCATTGTTGACATTTCTGTGCATACGTATCAACAAAATGTTCCTGCTGTTGTGTGTGCAAACATGACATCAGCAACGCTCAAGATCTTTTATTTAGATTTTCTTCAACTTATGGTAATTCAAGCGTATAGTTTTTAGTACGCATGAAAACTTAAGAAAACTTAAAAAGTCAAACAGCGCCGCACTTTAAAACTCGGACAAACAGTCGGTCACTCGCAAACAAAACCTAAACTCGTTAATAGCTGCTACATGTGATGGCACACTGATGACAGGATAGACCGTGACGATATATCCTCGAAAGTCGACCTACATTGTTATTATAAAATTGACAAATGTTTCAGTAACGTCAATCAGTGCGATCCGCGACAACCCACAGTGCGGACCGTGCATGGCCACCGGAAATAGAAATCAGTAATTAATCTGAACAAAAGCAATCTGATCCAGTTTAGTATTACCTATCGCCCGTTTTAACCCTTCTCGTGTTTCACACGTCTTGTTTCCTCGCTAGAACAGTTATTTAGTTATTTAGATATTATATCACCTATTCTGATACTTTATCAGATCAGCTACACCACGCGGATGTTTATAGTGTGAACCAGTTCGCAAGTATACCGTAGGATACGATCCCTCGATGACGCATTATCACCAAAGAACCATATGTAATGATAAAACGAAGCTTTAACCCCTAGTTACTTGAAGAACCTCACCATATGATAGTTATTAACGATAACCCACTCTCTCTTTCGCCCCCGTAGGAAATGGTGAAATAGATTAGAATTGAAAGACTATCTGATTTTGATTTTTCTTCTGAAACGCAAACGGCGAACTAAGCTTGTAAAACGTATACGACCGTCTTGTGTATCCACATTGCATAACAAGAAAGCAAAGAAGAAAATGAAAATATTTACAAATACATATTTTTTTAAAGTATCAAGATTACAAGGAACTTAGAAGCCCAATTATAATTCCAACACAATTTATGTATGAGATATTTAACTTTAAAACCCTGTTATGCATAAATTCATTACGTCTGATGCCCGTGAAGATTCCGGGGTAGAATAGGTCTTCAGCAACCCATGCTTGCCATAAAAGGTGACTATGATTGTCGTAAGAGGCGACTAACGGGATCGGGTGGTCAGGCTCACTGTTGATGCATGTCATTGATCCCAATTGCTTGGATTGATGCTTATGATGTCAATCCCTGGATTGTCTGGTCGAGATTCGATTATTTACAACCGCCGTCATATAGTTGGAATATTGCTGAGTGCGGCGTTAAACAACAAACAAACAAACATTACATCTGAGTGTTATTTCCGAGTGATCTCCATTGATCCCAAGTGTTCCGAGGTGTTGCCGAATGCTCAGTTTAACTGATAGTCGAAAGTGTAGTTGAATCCACCATGTGTCATGCAATCTGTTATGGATCAGTGTGATACTGAACCCGCTGAAGCATCACCTGACACAGATACAGGAGCCTCCTGCTGTAGCATATTGTTTGAAGGATGGGACACCAACTGTTCTTAAAAAATATTCCCATCGACACATATAACACATATACAAACTATTTATATATATTAAACATCTTAAAGTTTAACACTGTTCCGAGATACTACTCAAATATTAATATTTGCATTTTCAGCATATTTTGAATGTTTGAATTGTGTGAATATGAGTACTTGCTAATTGCATTACGCTGGTGTTGCGTCCAGACAATCGATGGGGTTCTGTCCAGACAAGGGTGACCCATGTAGAATAAGAACTCGCGCTATATCGTTTCTGCCCCACAGAGGATGGTTTATAAAATGCTGAGTGTGTGGAGTTTTTAGATAAAACGTAACAGCTGTTATTGTTCAATACTACGGGCGCCTGTACCAGTCATGGATATGTTTCCTGTCACTACAGTACTGACAATTCCGAGTATTTCGGAAGTAACAGGTCCCGTACAGGTGCGTGCTGATTGTCGGAAGACGGTGATTGGATGGCCACACTGACTGTTGATTGCTCTGTAGTAAGACCAGCGCCCCCGTGACCTGCAGTGAGTGAGTGAGTATGGTTTTACGCCGCTTTTAGCAATATTCCAGCAATATCACGGCGGGGGACACCAGAAATGGGCTTCACACATTGTACCCATGTCGGGAATCGAACCCGGGTCTTCGGCGTGACGAGCGAACGCTTTAACCACTAGGCTACCCGACCGCCCCCGTGACCTGCAGGGACGAGTTGTGTGGCATGAAGCCCCGATGGCATGAATTGCACACAGCACCCATCACCGTCTTGATGTTGCCATATGTCTGCCAATTACTAAATATGTACTGAAACTGAGAAACCAGACGCACACTCGCATGCATGCACGCACGCATGCACGCACACAATCATATACACACATACACACGCGCAAGTATGTACACACACATACTCAGGCTCGTACACACATACACACACAAACGCACATACATACTCACGCGCACACTCACACTCGCATCATGCATCATCTTGTAATGTTGGCACGGCATTACGACTTGTGTTAGGCATGACTCAAGACAAAAGTGGTTTTAACCTGTTGACTTGGATGTCAGTTCCTCAAATGCAGGCACACATTCAGCCTGAATCATATATTTATTCACGAGTCATGGATAGTTCTCTCTGTTGATACGTACTTCATGTTACCCGTGAAGATCCGGGGTAAAAGAGGACTTCAGCAACCCATGCTTGCCGTAAAAGGCGACTAACGGGATCGGGTGGTCAAGCTCGCTGACTTGGTTGATGCATGTCATTGTGTCCCAATTATGTCGATCGATGCTCATGACGTCAATCACTGGATTGTCTGGTACAGACTCGGTTATTTACACAGACCGTCGTCATATAACTTGAATTTTGCTGAGTGCGGCGTTAAGCAACAAACAAATACTTATTATCATGGGTTTTAATTTGGCACCATATCGCTGACAAGTTGCGGGAATTATCTAATGCCCGTGCACGAAGGTGTGAATAAATGTGTGGGTTAGTTGCGCACACTTATGTACACAGCTCTAACTGCAAAGTTTTTCACTTCTTATCGCAGAGTTACGTCAGTACACAAACACAACCACATCGCGTAAATGTGATGTGCATGCATATATTTAGTAATCAGTGATAAGACAAGTCGTTTTCAAAGGACAGGATACCATAAGTCCCCTTATTGGCCAACTAGAACTGCGTGAATTAAGAAATGAGCAAACGATTGATAAATTATCGTGAAATCTGTCACATGTGTACATTG